TTTTAAAATTAAAAACTGCTTTTATTCTGGCCGAAATAAAACAAATAAGACTTTTTCCAGAAGAAAAATTATCAGACATACTGTGAAAATTTGGGAAACAGTTAAAAAAGAAAAAAACAATTCAAATGAAGGCTAATAATTCAACTTCAACTGTACCTTACAGACACTGTTACTTACTAAAAAATTAGCAAATGTAAATGAAACTATCCATGTGATGACTGCAGTAAACTTACAACTGCACTTGGTCCACGGAGAGCGTGAGCAGGATATTTATTTCCTCAGGCTTTAAAAGCTCCCACTGAGGAAATGATTTCTCCATCTCCTAGAATATAAAACAGCATGATTTGAAAATTCACATTTGATCATTTTTTTTATAAATTGTAATACAATAATAATGTATTTATTCCATCATAATATCATGATTAGTGCTGAAAAGACAGCATGTCATAACTTAATTCATCAATCTACCCAGGCTGCCAATAGCCACACATTTTTTAAATCTTTGGCCAATTTTAAGGAAATTACTGAATGTTTTTTTTTTCAACACTTAACCCTCCAACAATACCCTTTCAATTTTAATTCATATATCTGTATATCTATCTGTATAAAAACTACACTATGCTAAAGTATCTGAGACATGATAAAGTTACTGTCAAACAGTAAATAAATAACTATTTTTGGTTCCCTAAAAAACTTCTGTCACTGTTTTTTGAAAGAAATACTTATTTCTTAGTAAATTCAATGCATCTACATATATTGTTGCTTTTAAAAATAATAAAAGCATCTGCTAAATATAAACATAAATGTCACTATCTTTTACAGTTTACCTACAGATCTGGCAACACTGCAGACGCTGTCTCGAAAACATGCTGAAAGGTTTCTTTTAATAATCAAATCAGCTGTGAAACAAAAAAGTTCATTACATTTCTTACTTGTTGCTTTAAACAGCAATTATATCTAAATACATGTACAATAGTTTGCTGTTTAATGTAATATCAGGACTGGTCATTAATTTAATGTAAAGTTTTAAAGTATTCTGGTACAGTAAATTAGTAGTTTACTTTATGATGTATGGTAAACTATTGTACTTTGGTAATTGATATTTCTTTTGATGTGAAGTACAGTATAATATAGACTTTACATTTATTTATGTAAAGCTACTTTCTGACTGTTTTGATTAGCCTATATTATGTGTAGCACGTTGGTTGTTAGTGCACATAGCAAGTTGTGTGCTAGCTAAAGGAAATGTGTAATAAACTTTTATTTTTCTACATATACAGTATTACTGCGCTGTGTTGAGGATGTGCGAATGCTATTAACAGAACTTGTTGCTAATTTATGTTGTAGTTCATCTGCTCAAGAGTTCGTTTTCTATTAGCATGCTGCATGTAAACAATTTACTTTAGTCCACAGCAGTCGTCTAAAAACCAATAAAATGACTAAATCCATTAGCATGTAGTTTACATACATTGATTTGAGTAATATCTTTGTCCGTTACTTCTCTTTTTATCTCTCTAGCATCTCTTTCTTTCTCTCGTGATATCTCTCCTCCAGACATGAGTCAGGATCAGGAAGGTGTTGTTCAGTGTGTACTGTTTCCAAGAGAAACTAGGAGGCGGGGTCTGTGCGCATGCGTACTTTTTGTGTAATTTTCGCATTATTTACACTATTATTTCTATCTATCAGTGTAATCTATCTCGTGTGAGCCTCAAAATGAGACCAATCGATGATTTAGTCACTGTATTTGACCTTATTCTGGCATAAAGGTTCCAAAAAATTGTTTTAGCAGTCATTGGCTTAGGCTACATAAACTATTTTGGTTCCCTTAAGAACTTTTCATGCAACGTTTTTGAAAGAAACGTGTATTTCTTAGTAAATTTTAATGAACTACAGGCCATTTTTACTTTGAAGAACCTTGTGTGAATGTAAATGTTACATGAAGGTTCTTTATGTAACTTAGGCCTAACCATCACTCACCGTCCACTTTATTAGGTATATTATATTAGTAGGCTACCGGGTTGGACCCCATTTTGCCTTCAGAACTGCCTTAATCCTTTGTGGCATAGATTCAACAAGACACTGAAAATATTCCTCGGAGATTTTGGTGCATATTGACTTGTCAACATCACGCAGTTGCTGCAGATTTGTCGGCTGCACATCCATGATGCGAGACTCCCGTTCAACCACATCCTGGTTCTGGTGACGGTGGAGGCAAATTGAGTACAGCGAACTCATTGTCACGTTCAAGAAACCAGTCTGAGATTATTTACGCTTTATGATGCGTTGTCCTGCTGGAAGTAACCATCAAAGATGGGTACACTGTGGTCATAAATGGATGGTCAGCTACAATCAACCTATTTTACAAAATGGCGATCGAGACCGGAAGTAGGGAAAACCTTCTTCCGGTAGAAGCAAAGTGCAATGACTGAGACGAGTAACCAATCTTGCAGCATATCTTTTTGTACTAACGTTAATTCGAAAAACAGCCGTATTTGTCTCTTATTTTCATATTTCTTCAGTCCCCCCCAGTTGCTACGCCTCTGGGAATGCCAACACTTTTGCCTGTGCTATGCACTTCAAGGAGGATGAAGTTCGCGTCCATCCACAGTCCAGTGTCATGTCATAAATGTCTTACACCACAGGCTGTGCCTTCCGGGTGTTCATAGAACAACTGGGGAGAGCTAATCACGCCAGACGAGGACGGCAAAAAAACGGTCTGTTATGAGCAGCAGGAGGAGGAACCCGTTGAAAAGGAGTGTTGATGTGTTGCTGCCAGGGCAACAACAGCCGGCCTCCTCCTGGTGAGTGCAACACGTTGATACAATAATAAAGTAACAATGAAAAATCTTAAATTTTTTTATTGAAGCATATAACTGACAACCATACAGGATTATATGATACCAAAACAATCATACAAAACTTCGTGATGCAGAACATACATTAAACAAAAACAATTAACACACACACACACACACATATATATATATATATATATATATATATATGAGGGGATCCATCATATTTAAATATTAAATTGTACAGATAATCTTTTTCATCATTAGAGAGGTTTTTCAGGTAGGCTGTGGCATTGACACAATGCTCAGTTGGTACCATATGAGATGGTACTAGTAGGTCCAAGGTGTGACAAGAAAATATCCCCCTGACCCCCACACCATTACACCACCACCAGCAGCCTGAACCGTTAATACAAGGCAGGATGGATTCATGGTTTCATGTTGTTAATACAATCTGAATGTCGAATCAGAAATCAAGACTCATCAGACAAGGCAACCTTTTTTTTCAATCTTCTATTGTCCAATTTTGGTGAGCCTGTGCGAATTGTAGCCCCAATTGTTCTGTTCTTAGCTGACAGGAGTGGCACCCGGTGTGGTCTTCTGCTGCTGTAGCCCATCCGCCTCAAGGTTGAACGTGTTGTGCATTCAGAGATGCTCTTTTGCATGCCTTGGTTGTAACTAGTGTTTTTTTTTTTTTGAGTTACTGTTGCCTAGTCAGCTGGAACCAATCTGGCCATTCTCCTCTGACCTCTGGCATCAACTGGATATTTTCTCTTTTTTGAACCACTCTCTGTAAACCCTAGAGTTGTTTGTGTGTGTGAAAATCCCAGTAGATCAGTAGTTTCTGAAATACTCAGACCAGCCCGTCTGGCACCAACAACCATGCCACGTTCAAAGTCACTTAAATCACCTTTCTTCCCCATTCTGATCCTGCAGCAGATCGTCTTGGCCATGTCTACATGACTAAATGCACTGAGCTGCTGCCATGCGATTTGCTGATTAGAAATTTGCGTTAACAAGTAGTTGGACACCTTATTGTGTACCTAATAAAGTGGCCGGTGAGTGTAGGTGCTAGGCCACAGGTGTCAAACTCAGTTCCAAAAGGGCTCTGCACAGTTTAGTTCCAACCCTAATTAAACACACCTGATCAAACTAATTGAGTCCTTCAGGCTTGTTTGAAACCTACAGGTAAGTGTGTTGGAGCAGGGTTGGAACTAAACTGTGCAGGGCTTCGGCCCTCCAGGAATTGAGTTTGACACCCCTGTGCTAGGCGAAACCAAAGAGGTTTAAATATATATATATATATATATATATATATATATATATATATATATATATATATATATATATATATATATATATATATATATATATATATATATATATATATATATATATA